CGGTTACCACCCTGGTCGGCCACGCAGTGGTCCCGGGCTCAATTCCCGGTCCGGACGAAATATTTGTATGGCCTGCATTTGTTTCTCTCGTGAGTTGGGTGTAATTTGTGGTTGTCTATGTGGTATTGCATAGTGCGGGGCTACGAGTGTGTACGTTATTATATGAAAATTCAACTACGAATATTTCTTACAAATACCATGGACATCCATGTTAATGTAGAACAGATGATTTCACATTAAAATGTGAAAACGTTTTGCCGAAACCATGCAAATATTTGCATTTTATATCGCCATTTCCTATAGTAAATAATTTTTTATCACAACTTCAGATAATTAGGTTTTCACTGTATATCGATGATTTTACGTCAATCTTTTTTTTTCACTGTACAGACGGAATACACAATTATATTATTGCGTGACGTGGACTACATCGACCGATTTATTACATCTACAAGTACATCTCATAAAGGTTCTTTGCGGGGACTTGTTGTAATGGCATAGTAGATGTCATGATCTGTGGTAGACATACTCTCCGTTTCCCAATTCTTTGGGTCAGAGCCTAAATTATCAAATCTCTCGCACTCTCTCTCTAGTCGTTCCCTCATGTCTGAGGATCGTGGTCAGCTTCGTGCCTACTTCTGAAACGAGCGATCTGCCCTGTTTCTTTGGAGGACGATGAGTCTTTAGCTTGGTCGATCCATCTCGTTGGTGCACGGCCACGTACTCGCCTTTCTTCCGTGTTACCATCTACAATCAGTTTCTCCAAATTGTTATCCCCTGTGCACATCATGTGATCGAAATATGAAAGAATACCCTGGTGGCATGGACAACCGAATCTTAATTTAAAGCTGAGACAAGATTGACGCTTCGGTGCGTCATTGGTCTCCAGCACCACATTTCGAATGCATAAATTCTTTGTTTTTCCCTGGCCAAAATTTTCAAATAGTAACCAGTAAATGGAAGAGATTTTCAACAAGCTCAATGTGTCACCACACACGGCTCTACGATTACGCAAAATATTGATGACTTCATCAATACCAACGTTTCAAACCGTTTAATTGATAACAATCTTTATTATCGCTTCGTACACGACTTATAAAGTGTACTTAATGTGCGATTCCCGAGTAAATGTTAATATTGCAATATATTTGCTAATAATGTCGTCAACAATTTTTCTACTTACAAATTCATTTTGCGGCCGCTGCCACAAATACTTCTTGACTTTATCTAAAGGTTGTTCTTGCTTTGTCTGTAAATAACTTTGTCATTTGGCTGTTGGTGCCTATCGCACAGCTTGTGTGAATTATGCGCTTGAATGAAATACGAGTGTTCGTGAGTGCACGCCGTTAATTCAAGAAGCTAGACTGTCACGCTAGAATTAGGTGGCGCTAAATTGCATTTGCTATGATGATAATAGGTTAAAACACGGGCGGGTTAGTTGAAAAGACTCTTTGAGATCTTGGGTTGGATATTTCTATTGTAACACTGTTAACTTATTTTTATGACACCAAATGACTATCACCTTGAGACATAAGTTGACAAGTCCTATGTGCCTGTTATTTCACCAGCACCCTTATCCTTTAAGACCGGAAGCAGCAATAGGTAAAGTAGAAATGCTGCCCTGGACGAACTTTCGGAAAGAGCTTTACTGCTGCTAACCGATGTACGTTTAGGTCTTTGGGACTTGATGGAGCGTAAAGCTAAGACTTCTCTTTTGTGAAATTCAAGCCTCGAAATCTCGACAATCGCAGAAAAATGTCCTGCAATGGATTAAATTTCTAAGAGTGTGGACCCTCATTGTTCCTCTTTCGGTAGATTTCAAGTTACGGAACGGACAAGTTGTGAGCATATATAACAATAGCAGTTCCACTCAAGGCGAGGTAGGCTACGTATAAAGAGGTGGGGTGTAGGGGCTCGCCCCTCGGGTCACGCAACACGCGCGCTACCAATTAATTAGAAAATTTGACACAGATCCCACGTCGACATACGCCCGATGGCGACTCATGGGGCAGCGGACGGCGCGGCATGTCTTTAAATCGTTGGGCAATTTGTAAATTTTGGGAAAAACGTAAATATAATAACAAATTTTTTTTTCTACATTCGTCTTAATTGTAATCGCAAAGATTGAAAGGCACTGCCACTGCGCCCTTCTTATACGCAATTTATAGGACCACTATCGTTTCTTCTAATCGGGAAATAAGTTACAGAATACTATAGGGAGAATATATAGGACTAGTCCTAACTAGTCATGTATGTATTGTTTTGCTATAGGTAGCAAAACAATATATAGGCATAAGAACAGCTCTCATGGTGTTAGTAAACACGAGTCAGGTTTTTGCGCTTGTTATAAAACCATTGTCATTGTTCCCGTATCGGTTGCACAATGAGTTATCTACGCTTTACACGTATTGTTCAAGACACTTTGGCTTTGTCCAATGAAATGTGTTAGATAAAAAAATATTAATTGAAGTTAAATCTTTTGCTAATTGGAGGCCAGGTCTAATCCCTCTTTACAGAGATAAAATGTAAAAAGCTATTTGCGACGTTGGCCTCACTAGTAATGTATAATAAGGAAATTGATTGTCAATGAAATTGTCCGCGCAAAAACGTGGCAACTGATACGCGAAAAAGTGTACTTTGTATTAAAGCTATATAGTTGAAAATTAGCAATTTAAGTGACGCCTCTCCACTACAAGCCATTCTACAATGTATGCGATCATAAAACTTGTAGTTTCACCGCTGTTAAGATTTATTAATGATTATTGAATATTGTGATGTTTTACCAACATGATACACAATTATTTTTACAATCTATATATCTATCTTAGTCTGGCTGGACTCGGACCAGCGACCTCGCCATGTCGGTCTACGGAGCGAGTCAGCAGACCTTACAAATATCTCTACATCTTTGTTTTTGGTTTAAATTACTTTTTTGCCATAGCTGGTTTGACAAATCTATGAAAGTTTTCGAGTGCGTCGAGCATTTCCAATCCAACTGGATCAAAGGAATTTTTCTTTGTGTCAGATCTTTGTATTAATAATTATTACTGTTATGAGTCGAGGATGCAAAAGAGATATGCCAGATGTGCAGCAGGTGGAGATCAAACGTGTTTGGCTAGTGCAATGGGAGACATGCGTATATTATTAGAAAACACTTGGATAAATTATTAAATCATATACAGTTATATGAAGTACCTAAAAAAAACAAGATGTTTTTAAATTCCTCGTTTGATGTAATCTTGGCAGAATAATAATGTTATGAGGTCTCTCTTACATTCCTTGTTTAATGAAACAACAACTGTTCTGAAGAAGCAGTAAGCAATTGCATTAATAAAAACGTAAGCACTGAGTAAATTAAAAAATATTTTCATGAATTAGTTATAGACTATACAAAATGGAAATGTGTAGGGAAGTATTAAATGTTTTTAAACAACAACAAGTGTCTATTTACTTTCCAATAATAAGCTAAATATTATGATTTATTCTAAGATTTAAATAGCTCAGGCTACAAAACGATTATTTAAAATAAATAAACAGAAGATAACTCCTAGTCAGCATTCCATTGGTAGTGATAATGTTTCCTCCTCGGAGCTTATCACAGAAATTCCAGGACATAACAGGATGTCACACTATGTTTCTAGTTTCCTCTAACATTGTTTATTGAAAGATTGAAAATATTTGTTATTTATTATTCCATACAACTTAAAATATGTTATTCATGAAATGATTTAAACAATCCTTCATTGAATAAAAAAGTATTCTAAATAATATTTTCTATGTATTATGAATGAAGGAAATTTATTGGATTATGACTTTCCTACTCCACTACTTGGCTAAGTTCTAACTTATTGTTGCATGAAACTGTATAAATGTTCAAAGAAGCCAAATATATCTGAATACTTAAAAAACAAATATTCAAACTCTTTTAACATTAACTGATAAGCTATTTAGATTTGAAATAATAGTTTCATTTCCTACTAAACGAACAGATCATTTCAGTTTTGTAAGTCCATGTTTTAGAGATAACACATTGTTCTGGTAAACGGGCAATATATTGTTATGCAAAAATAAAAATGCTGGACACAATCGCAATGATTCCAGGCAAGGGAACTTACTGCAATCGTTTCGAAAGTCGACTTTTAATGCATTCGTCTTTAACCTGTTTCTGGACAGCACTTAATAGCACCGCAAACAAAAATGTCACTACTTATCTTTGTGCTATTGCACTTGTATTGATTCAATATGAAATGTTCAATGTAAATCATTGAATGTAGTCAGCATGTTGTTGATACTTCCCTATAGACAGGGATAGAGACTTCGCTGTAGGTGGCAAATACATAGAAAGTACTCAGAAATCAAACTGTAAAACCTGTAATTAGTTTATGAGTACTATATAGTCAACGGGGTACCCATACTATCATATTCTGATATTTAATTTTTACGGTAAATCCATCACTGTCTTTTCAGAAAACAAATAATAATAGATAAAGTTATGTTTATTATGTATTATTATTCGAACTATTGTGATTACCACTAACTACAGTGCAAAGCCAAGGCCGACAGCACTGAAGAGCAGAAGGACTTTCCTGGCTCCGACAGATTGAATGTCCTCTGGTTGTGGCATGTGCCTTTATTACATATTACAATAACTTCCATTCAATTCCCTTTAGTTTACAACTATGTTAAACGATCTACATACCATGAATAATTTTAGACTTCGAAATACATTTTCTTACAATATTAACATAAAAAATTATTCGTATTTACGCTTAAAAGAGTATAATTACCACAAAACGACTACCTCTTTACTACATAACTTTAAAAAAATATATCTCCTAGATAAAATGTTTTCAAAGTTAAATGTAAATCCAAAGAAAGGAGCTGGAGAGAAACACCGCTGTTAGATCGTAATTACTCATAACTAGAAGACGTTTAAGGTGAAATAAATTTCTAGAATCAAACATTATAAATGTAGATGTTATGAATGAAAATGGACTGACCTTATTGTGTGGCAGTACTATAAAGGCACCGCCGCCAGCGGACTCCACGATGATGGCCAGGAACTTGGGGTTCACCGCACAGAATGTCGAGTCCCATGAACTCTTCGACACTCTGATGTTGTCATAACACTGTTCCCTTTTCAGGGGCTGCCCGTACACGTGGCGGAACTTTGAACTACGCACGACCCTAAACGACATCTGCAACGCCAAAACCACACTGTTACACAGCAATACGTAAACAATTCCAATTAAAACCGAAATAATTTAATCTAACATAACCTCTACGATACAATGACCTATATTTTGACATTAGTAAGCAGCAAATAATTTTCAACTCACGTTTAATTAATAGAAGAAATTATAAATTTACACTAGAAAATGCAATGAAAACATTTGAATAAAACTCAATAATTTAAAGAAAATAAAATTGAGAACTACTAAGGATCGAAGGGAGGACGGTTGGGAAAACGAGCAAACTCCATATTTGGTAATGCCTACAGTCGCTACATTTACTTATTTTAAAACTTGCTTTTCATAAATGAAAGTAACTTGTATTTCGTGTGAATTAGATACTGAATTAGTTTAGAATTTAATTATATTTTTTATAAAATTTTATTCCACAGTTTTAGATAAAAAAATCAAGATTCATCTAGTGTGGATATTTTGTTAAATGTGAACGCAACTAACGAATGTCAAATCGTCGAGTTATAGCGGTGTTCAAGTGAATTAAATTTATAAATGTGGGTAGGTTCTATTTCCTCTAAAAAATCGAAGTTGTTATTTCAGACCTGTAAAAGTAAGAGCAGAAATTGTAACTTACCTTTGATATTCCCAAACGAGATATTTTCGGTTTTGGATGTTCAGGGGTTCCTGCATGATAGCTATGACAGCGTTCGCGTCCTACTCTTTTAGATTCTAACAAAGGTCTTTTTGGATTTGGACTTTTTAAACTACTGTGTCTCTTAAATTCCTACAAACAAAAATTCTATATTTTTCAGACTAATATCAAGCGTACAGAATAAAAAAGTATAAAATAATAAGTAATAATAAAGTAATAAATAGTATAAAGTATAAAAAAAGAACAAAACACTTTTCTTACACCGTTTTCCATCATTTTTGTCAATAGCAGTCTAATCTAGTAAAATTTTTAAGTATTATATTTTATTCCAACAGTTGAATACAATAATTAATACTGTGAATATTTCTTTCAAACGTCAAGCACCGCGTAGACTTAGAAGGCAAAATGAATTATAGGTAGGTGAATTTTTTTCAAAACAATTATGTGGGTAGTTTTGTAATTCCTTTAATTTTATTTGTGTTTCTGTATACAACCTATGTAATAAAAATTCACAAACGTCCTGGTACAGGGTCAAGAGCACGTCAAGCATCTCTATGCCGCTCACGATAAGAACGATCCAAAGTACAAAGTGTCAAGCTTGATGTGCTCTTGACATCCAATATAATACGTACGTATAGTTGAATATTTTCTGTATGCTCACAGTGAAACAATGAAGTTGGCAAGAAAGAAAATCTGTCTCTTTTATATTTATTTATTCTTATTTATGGGATTTTGTAAAAAAGGTACTTTTTTTAACGTTTACAACTCATTTCCACAGACATGTGTGTGCTCATTTCAATTCGCTTATAACTTGAGTGCCCCGTAGCCAAAGTACTTTAATGAAACAAAAAAATCATTTGACAGTTGTATGACATGTGCTTAGACATTGACATTTTCTGCTGTCGCAGATTTTGCAAACAAACATATTTCAGGCTTTGCTTGTTAAAAAACTATTTTTTAACTTCATTCTACACAAAAATGTTCTTAAATTAACACTATAATTAAAAAGTGTCTGTAGACCGTGTGAGGAAATGGATCCAACTTGTGCAACGGTAAAGGTAAAAGAACGTAAAAATAAATGTGTGCCTTGGAAAATAATTATATATTTTTAATTTTCCTCGCTATTAATTTTTACGTTCGCCGCTCTTTGTTGCTTTCTTAATTACCATGTAATTCGATATTATTACGTAGAAAATAAGCCTGTTGTTGGAAATAATACGTGTAGGACGTGATTATTTTAACTTATGTTTTTTATTTTGACCTATTAATGATAATCACTTTTTTTGGAAAAATAAGTGATTTAACCCAATTATCATTATACAAACATTTTAAAAAGTAACAAAGGTATCATTTACTTTGTGTACATATTTTATTTTATATTATGCTACTTTGTCTCATGCGAAAGCTTACTTTAATTTAAATATCCATGTACCTAGCTTGGCTTTAATTTTTTAAATTTGTATGTTCAGTATTTGGATTTTGGTGGTCTCAATGTACTGTCATGTTACCGTTTAAAATGTAAAAAACCATAGATAAGGTAATCAAGTCAAATAATCATTTATTCCATAGGTAAAATCATTACACTTCAAAATGTCATTTTTTAAGCTACTGCTCGTTCACTACGCTGACCTCCCTGAAAAGAACGAGCAAGAAACTCTATATTGCTCTTTTCAAATAAACTTAAATGCTATAGAATACATTTTGAATCATATTTGTGTGGAATCCAGACTCAAATTGTTTTTCCATACATCTTTATCTAATTTGTTGCGTAGTCTAATGGTTTGGCCTACCACCTCTCACGCAGAGACCATGGGTTTGAATCTGAGCTGGCACCTCTGAATTTCTCGGAATTTAATTTGAAACTTACCATGCGCTTTTCGGTGAAAGAAAACATTGTGATGCAACGGGCACAACCATGGGAAAATGTGTGAAATCCCCAACCCGATTGTGAAACGTGCGATTGCATTGCTACAGTAGATGCAAAAGTGGATGATGATGCGACGGCATTACTGCCAAAAGTAGCCGTGTGTAACAGTATTAAAATTTTAATGGTGGAGAATATCTTTTAGTGATACTGCAATGCTGAATAAAGGAAAACTGAAATGTTATAATGATAAAATGACTTTTTAAATTTGTTCACATAATAATCTGTCATTTAGTAGTTAAAAAAAGTTATTTTTTTACGTTCAAATTATATACGAGTAGCAGAGATAAATATTGCAAACATCATAGTTATAAATAACCTAAGGCCGTATTACATAATCTATCAGATTGTGTAATAATAAATAATAATTGTTTTTAAAACACACAATAACAACTGTGCACAGATGTGTATTAAATTATTTTGGACATTAAGGTGATGTTGGAGATCATAGAAAAATATTGTAGTTATTTACATTTTGTATCAGTTGAATTTGTAACATTACAATATGTGATACAGACCACCTAACAAAGTTGTCAATTTAACAAACTTAAGTATTATTTTATGTACTGCTGGTGATTCTTTAATATGGAAACTTTTTATTTGGTGAGATCTCATTCTTTTACTTTTACTTTTTTAATAAGACAATTAATGTGTATAAATACACCAAAATATTTCACTGTGACAATAGATTCAACGTCATTAGTATTGAGCACGGGTCTCCTCTCAGGCGAGGGTTATAGTCTGCCACTACGCCCAATATGGGTTGGGGTCTTTACACATTTTCCAATAGTTCTGAATCTTCTTCGACGTGTAAGTTTCCTAACGATGTTTTCCTTCAAAGAAAGGTTTGTGGTATATTTCTAATTAAATTTCATGCATAAATCAGAGACACAAACCCGAAGTCAAACTGTCAGCGCCCAGTTACTCGAGGAGAAAGATTTCGCGTGGCCGCCGCGCGGCGACCGCCCAGTTACCACGCCTTCATGTACATTAATGGCGAATCTGAATTCTATTTACTAGGCAACAACATTTAAATTCCTCTGAGTAATACAACCGCGCGGTCGCCGCGCGGGCTGCCGCGTAGACCAAATTCAAGCCGGGACGTTCCTTTAAGTTAAAACGCAAATGCTAAGTGAATAGAGCGTATTTTACCATGACAGTTAGACACGCTCAGCGACCGCGCGAGGAGAGCGCGATGAAATGCGTGTCGAATAAATGCGCCGTTGGGCTACCAGGGCTTTTATTATGTGTAACATTTTTATTTTAAACCTTCTTGCAACTAAATAAGGTCGAAATGAAGCTTATTTTTGCTGCTAATTGTACAACAGAAAACCAATTTCACCATAAGTGTTGAATGAAGAAAAGATTTCTCTGCAATTATTTAAAAACGGGCACAGATAACCATCAAAATGTAAAACAGTGAGTCATTGCTGCATTACAAAAGCATTTACATTCATGCAGGTGTAGTGAACATTCCGTATGTATTACATCATTCTTTATTTATATACTTTAAGCTCACATCCTTTTTATTGATGCCTCTTTAAACTGATAGAGTTTGAACGATGACATTTGCAATAATTGGTATGGATAAGAAATATGTGAGACAAACACAACAATACTTTGTCTTTAGGGAATTACCTGTAATATTGTGTATGTACTAGTATCAGATTTCTACCGCCCAGGCTAACCTTAAATTTGCTGCCCCCCTCTATTATCACGATTAGTTCGTTTGGGCAGGCTCGGCTCGATTGTAATTTTATGTTCGCCGGCCGTCGCTACCTTTGAGTTGTTCAGGATACATCCATTTCTCATTTAGTAGAATTTATTTTCAAATTTTAAGTATAATAAGAATAATTTTGAAAGGTTAGGGCTCGGTCGCGCTCGCCGTCGCCCCCATTGCTGTGTCGTCTGTAGCCTTAGCCCCATTTGCACCCCACACGCTACGCCACTGACTAGTAACTTTATTTAACACGATCAACTTCGTCTAAATTTTCATTATTGAACCATCTAGGCTTCGTAATAATTTGTGCCATGGGAGTCAGTCCCATATCTTTTCTACATAAGTTTTGTTTATAGTGACCCTTCCTATCAACTACTTGGTTATACGGGAATGGTACTATAACATGTGCGAGCAAACCAGCACAGGTAGCTTCTTAGTCAGGACCTGACCCCAGATCAGCCCGTTTGTACGGACTTCATCCGGTTCTCTGTAAGGCTAGTGCCTTAGAAGAGCCGCCCCGGGTGCACGTACAGTACCCTCCCCATTTTCCAGATAGGTACCAGAGCTCTAGGCACGCTCACTTCCCGTCGCGCTCCGAACGCCTAACGGTTGCCACCGCTGAGCCGCCGATTCTAAGCCGACTACCAAATTTCCTCATAGGTGGCGGAGCCGTGAGGCACGCTCACTTCCCGACGCCGAATGAACGGCGTCTCTCCAGTTCCCAAATTCCTATGCGGCCGGAGGGACCGGAAGATATCTACTAGCTCTCCGGGCTAGTGCCGGAGATGCCAAGTGGCAGTGTCCTGCGACAATGTCCGGACATAGCCACCGACTTAAAGGGCAACTCACGTGCCCCGCGCGTCTCCTCGCCTCAGGCCCTCAACTAGACCGCTACTAAGACGTAATGATGTAATAGCTGCGCGCGGGACGAACGCCCCGGTCACCATCTACCGGGGCAGACGAACGTGTTCGTCCTTGCGGCTAACCACAACCCCCGGCGAGTCCATACCCAAGACCGGGTCCGCCAGAGACGCCCATGAAGAGGTATCACTGGCGGAGGACATTGGGGTCAGTTAATTCAAAATATTTGTATTGTATTTCATTTGTTGCAGCACAACTACCGGGTGGCGATGTGGCTACTGGGCGCGTGCAACGCGGCCGCCCTCGCCGCCGCCACTAACCTTGTCATCTCTCTCGATCCTGAAGACAAGTAAGTAATATCTTTATTTTTATAATATCCTTCGTATTTTTTCCTTTGGTTACATTATTCGGACTTTTATATGAAGTCCGCAATTTCCTTTACTGGTGTTTCCCTAAAGAACTTGTTGAAATTCGTCTTTCATCAATGTTTCTTTCATAAAACATAATTAGTTCAGGAATCCAGCATAATTTTTTCTAAGTGATATGGGCCGAACAAGTCGTGCGCCTGGTGGTAAGCGATACACGTGTCCATAACAACTGCAGTTCTGCTCAAAGCTTTAAATCGCAAAGATCTAAGGAGGCACTGCCACTGCGCCCGTCACCCTGAATGTAAAAAATCTCAAGTGCCTATAATTTTTCCAGCGTCCTTACCTTTCAAAACCGAAACACAGGAATGCTTGGTAAATATGCTAAAAATGCTTGCTAAATGCTTGGCGGCAGAAATAGGTAATGAGGCAGAGGCCTGGACGAACTCTTTCATAAGCTCTAATGCTACTAAAGTACATTATTTACTAAACTACTTTATCCTATCTACGTATAAAGTATTTAAAAAAGAAAGCCAAGTTTGGAAGACAAACAGAAGTGATTTTTATCTAAGTAACCTACAAATATGGCTATAGGAGAGTGAAAAGCTGTGTGGCAACGTGTACATTCGAATTATTGTAGACGCGTCCTTGCCCGGTGATAATGGAGCATCGCAGCTCGTCGTCAGACGCAGATAAATTGATGTGTTTGTGACACGACACGGCTTTATAGACAGCAAAATATTTTTCTTTTGCCGAGCAAATAGCCAAGGATCGAGAGTCAATTAAAAGTAGAGTCCACAGTACTTCATCACGAATTCAAATTTTTCGGTTCTACTGATCGGGTCGAGCGGCAGAGACTGGTTTTATTTCAGAATTTATTTTCTTACAAACGAAATTAACGCTATTTGAAAAATGTATATCGTATATTATGCGTATCTAGGGTCGACAGACTAAAGCACATAAGTCAAAAAAGTTATAATTATATATTTTTTTGTAGGAAATGAAACTATTTTTCCCAGTCAACCGTGACCGTGGGACCTGTAAAGGGCCCGAAACGTCGGTTTGTTTGAAAAAACAAATATATGCGATTTAAATCCGGAAAAATAGTTTCATTTCCTATGTGTAACAATCGCGAAAACCTAAGAACTCGATATATTTTTTTGTGTTGTTTTTAGTGTTGGAAGTTAAATAACCTCTAGAATAAAGTTCGAAATTTATGAAGTAACAAATGAATTTGACATATGTGCTTTAACCAGTAGACGTATTAAGTTCAATGAATGATGTTAGATTTTGACTTATGTACTTTATTCCGCCGGATATAAAATTCCATCGGCGTATGTCCTCCAATTTACTATATATTTTTTCAAAAGTAATTGATTCAGTACTTTCACTGTTTGATTTGAGGTTGTATCGAGTCTAAACTGAAAACCAATTAAGAAGTTAATACCATCGTAAACCTATGTAAATGGAAATTAATGAAGCTAGACTCCTTATCAGTAATTTCAATTCGGGTCTATCACTTTAATGAGTATCCCCTAAAGTTATCGTGTTAGTCCTCCGAGTAATAAATGTTCGGCGGGTTCTACCGGGGACACTCGAATCAACCATGTAACATACAGTGTAGTAGCGAGTTTTTTATCCTTGATTGTGTTCCAAAGTTTGACAAATTATTTCCCTATCGCATTTAATAGTTCCTAGTTCCATTTGTATAATCAAACATCGTATAATTTAAGCTGCGCCTTTACGAGAGATAATTTAATGTTGACGCAGCCTATGAGAGATCACCTTTAGGAGTTTGTTTCCGTGAAACTTCGCTACAATAGTTCTCGGCATTGAAATGTAAGGTGTAAAAATAATACGACCGTTAGGTATGATTGTAGTATGAAATAGGAATTTTCTCGAAGATTAATTCCTAGTTAGGATCCTGTTTCTGCCGCATAGCACAGTGTTGTTATGGAAGCTAGTACCTATAGAGCATGTACCTCTGTAACTGAGCAGTAACAACATTGAAAAATAACTATTTTTTTCAAACAAATCACACGTTTCGTGCTTTAGATTTAGATCCGTAACAAAATAATTTCCAATGTGTAACCATCTATGTGCATGTAGTAATAAATCAAAATTCGATTCACGTCCTTACATAGCTCTATAAAAAATCCTTACAATACCAAAACTGTGCCGGTGCAGTATGGTGCCGGGAATGGCGGCAATCGATTTAAGACATCGATTTGGAAGTGGTTGACTATATCAATTATTTAATTATTTCTAAACTACCGGTTTATTTTATTGTATACTGAAATTTTAATATTAATTTTGACTTTTTATTTATCTTTATTTCAATTTTGTTTAATTGTTATTTTATTTTTATTTTTATGTTTTATTATTCGGATTGTATTAATTAGTTATGTTGATCTTAAGTTTATTTAATTGCAATGTAATTTTTTGGTATGGGTCGTTGTCGCCCGAAAAAAATAAAAAATTAAAAACTATTTATTTATTTTTTTATTTCTATAATGAATAGAGCGTGCGACACGCGCTATACAACTCCACTGCGAAATTATGCGAATGTGTGCGTGCGTACACGAAGCGCGTGGCGAGCGTGCACATCTACAAGACGTACTGCTACGTTTGTTTGGAGTTACAGTACTTGTCCTATTATAATATTCCCCTAGTGAGAGGATACCTGGACGTCTTCTCTCGTTCTGCGTCAGACGTCCGTCCGAAACAATTACTATCAAATTAGTAATACTCGACAAAATTAAAATACAGTGTGAAGTATGAAGCTTCATTCGCATCTTGCGTCTTTTAATTTATTTGGTACGAGAGCACAGGGCCTGTGCAGTGTAATGGAACGTGTAACGAGTTGACGATGAGGTTGTTACTGTGCAGGATCTCTATAAAGCGCGGGTGCGGCTTGACGGCGCTGGGTCTGGTGTACTTCGTGTCGTTGTTCGAGCTGCTCAATGTGCTGGCGCTGTTCACGGCGCGCGGCGCGAGGTTCAGGCACCGCTACCGGCTTTCGGCTGGGGATGTCCTCGACATCACTAACAAGTCAGTTCTATTGATCTATTGTTGCTCTTACCAACTGAGTTACGGGTCCAGTTCTGTATGGCTCGGTAACTGGACCCGTAGCTTAGTTAGTAGTAGTGTAGCATGAACGTGGGTTCAAGTCCCACCGGGTCGATGAAGTTTTTCTGTGTGTTCGAACTTTGTTTTCATAATCATAACGAAACTGGTGGAGTTATTTCATAAAAAATTCTCAATATATGTATTTGATCGAAAAGCGACATCTGCGACAGTTGCGATACCTGTAAAGGTATCGGCTGCGGTGAAAATATTATTCAAAAATCTCTCACCAGATATCACTAGACAAATGCCGACAGCCAATACAAATATTTATAACAAAAACACATAGGACAATTTCGACGGCTCGATAAGTTGACCCGTAGCTAAGTTGGTAAGAGCAATGCTACGGTGCAGCATGGACGCAGGTTCAAGTAGAAAAAAAAAATTTTGTGTGTTCTTCGATCGATCGATCTTTGTAATCATAATCATAAATAAAATTAGATTTTAGATTCAAAATTTGTTGTTGAAAACCTAAGAACGTTTATGAGTCTCGAGAGTACGTAGATATGTTACGTGATATTTCTTCTGTACCCAAAAGGCGGCGGTAGCCCAAGCTTCTTAATAAGAGGTCGCTAGTTCAATTATATTTCTAAAAGTTTAGTAGGAATACCTCTGGTGCTGATGGAAGCCTGCGTATAGAAAATGGTTCACCTTGTGAATTCCCCAATTCGAATTACTCCAGAGTGGCAATCTATGGCCTAAACCAGACGTGGGCAAACTTTTTAAATTATGAGGCAAGAAAAACAAAAAATTTCACAGGGGCCAGAATTTAAAATAATTAAATTAAGGTTGTAATTTTGTATAATTGTGTTAACATTATATATTCGATCGTGACTGTGAAAATATATTTCCGAACGGCCGTGTACCCTACTTTTGAAGGGACGTTGGCCGGAATAAACACTGGTTTAAACCATCTCCTTCAAGGAGATCCCATGCCCAGAAGTGGGGCGAATGTTGGGTTGAGGACAGTGATTATTATAAAAAGAATTGTCTCAGGCATTACTGACTGCCCTGGTCTGCTCTCTAAAATAGACTTTCTTTTCTCGCGACAATTGCCGAGATCTGGTAGTAATAGGTTGTTCTTAGGCCAAGATGTCGCACAAATTTGAAGCTACATTGTTTCTTATCACGAGCAATAACAATGTATAAGGAATATCAGAGTGAAATTGATCTAAATTGTACTTCCGTTTCTATGATAAACAAAGTGATGTGATAAGTTTATAGTTGAGCTCATAATGATTGTACTTTTGTATCGTCATGCCTAATCAAATATTATTGTATTTCTTTTAGTGCATGCTGTGCCCTCGTTTATTCAAAATTCAAAATAATCTTTATTTCATAGGTAAGCATTATTACACTTGAAATC